GAGAGGTAAACATCTGGATCAGAACCTACTACTCTGTGGATAAGTTGCTGGTTCAAGGGCTTTGAGAACCTGGTCCTAAGGGCCATCAAGGTTGACTGGCATGGAAGGCCACAAAAACTTAAATCCTATGTCCAACTTTGCTGAGTAGCCCCTGAGGTCTCAAAAGCTTGCGAACAGCCATCTAAGGTGAAACTATGGTTCTCTTCCTGCACAGAACAGAGATGAGGGAAGAAAAGGAAAGAGGCACAGAAACAATCAGTACAAAAAGCTAACAGATCACTTTAGGCTCAAGGTCCATGACCTGGAGACGAGCATAACTAGAAGGTGCCTGGATACCACCACCAATCACTTAGAAAGGGATAAGAATAGAAGATCCTGGGAAGAGTGGAAAATGTAGAGCAAAACTAAAAAACATAAAATGCCAGGCTTCCTGGTCTCATGGCGACGGGTTGATATCCCGAGACTATAGTCCTTGTTGCTGTTGTGTGCTGTGAAGTTGGAAATGACCCAAAGCTGAACCTCCAGCAAGTTTTCAGAGACAGTAAATTACACAAGAGGAGACGGCCCATCCTTTTCTTTTGGTGGATTCGAAACGCATGCCTTTGGGACTGTAGCACAGCTTCTTACCACTAGGCCACAGACATGTCTACAAGATGAACAATAACACCAGGGCGGCATGCACCCTCAGTCCTTAGAAGAATCAACCACATCAGATCAAAAGGGCAGCATCTGCCCATGAGTTGAGTTCAGAAGGCAGGAAAGATGGACTGGTGGAAACAGGAATCCCAAGGAGGAAGGGGGAAGAGTGAAGAGTGCAGCAGCACTGAAGACGTTGTAATTAGTCTTAGAAAACAAAATCCATGAGTGGCTGAATGGAAAACTAATTAGCTTTGTAAACTTTCTCTCCAATTCACAATGATAAAAAGTCAGAGAAGGGAGCTGGGGATTGGGGCAGGATAAGTATAAATTAGTATTGACAAGTTCAAGTTGAAGGTAGGGGATGCTCATTTCTCCTGCAGGGTAGCAAGCATTAACTTGCTCCCAAAACCCCTTAAATAAAGAGAAAGAAAAGCATGGTCTTTAACCCACACTCAGAGCCCTGTGACCGAGCTACTGTGCTTGGCCCTCCAGCGCTGATTCCACCTCACTGACCCGGCAGCAATGTCCAGGCAGTTCCCTGAGCTGTAGTCCTTACAGGAGCAGATATCCAGGTCTTCCCCCACCAAGCTGCTGCATGAGTTCAAACCACCAACCTCTTGGTGAGCAGCTGAGTACTTACATGCTGTGCCATTAGGGCTCCTTGACCATTCTCCCCATCCCCACACCCCCAAAAAATCCAACTCTCTACCATCCAGAGGATTCCAACTCTCAGAGACCCTCCAACAGGTTGTTTAGGCAATATGGATTGAGGCTCAATATCAAGAAGACAGAGATTCTCACCACTGGGCCAACTGGCAGCATCAGGATGGAAGGCGAAGAGATCATTTACAGCTTTAGTTTGCTTGGCTCCACAATCAACACTCTCGGCACCAGCAGCCAGGAAATTAAAAGACATATTGTGATGGGAAAGTCTGCTGTTAGGGACCTCTCCAAAGTACTGAAGAGCAATGGTGTCACTCTGGAGACTAAGGTGCGTGTGATACAGGCCATGGTCTTTGCAATCACTTGCTATATGTCAGAAAAAGCTGGACAATGACTAAGGAGGATAGAAGGAGAATTGATGCCTTTGAGCTGTGGTGCTGGAGAAGAGTATTGAATACACCACAGACTGCTAAGATAACGAACAGGTTTGTTCTGGAGAGGGTTAAATCAGGCTGCTCCTTGGAGGCAAGGATTCTGAAGCTTTGTCTGACATACTTTGGACATGTTGCAAGGAGGGACCAGTCCTAGGGCAGGGATATCATGTTTGGTAGGGTGGAGGGACAGCACAGGAGAGGAAGACCCTCTATGCGGTGCACTGATTCAGTGACTGGGGTAATTGGGGTAGGTGTGTCAAAGACAGTGAGATTGGCACAGGACAGAGCAGGGTTTAGGGCTGTTGTACACAGGGTTGCTATGAGTCACAGACAAGTCGACAGCACACAACAACAACAACAATCTCAACAGGAAGAGAGTACCCGCCCATCTTCCTCTTGTGGAAGCTGATGCATCAGAACCATTAGCTGTGCAGCAACGGAGCCACCCAGACTCGCTTGACTATACAAGTCGACAAAAGGCCTTTCATCTGTAAGCTGGGCGGGGAAGGTGTCTTCTCTAACACTTAGATCATGAACTTGTTTTCCTGAAACAGCTCATGACTACTCAGCAGCATCGGCCTTGACAATAACAGAGGCCTGCCTGTGTCTGAATGACCAAGGACCCAGCCAAGCCCGAGATGGGGTTACTGGGGTCCATCTGCCACTCTAATGCTTGGGGCACCAAAAAACGGAGTGCATGATGTAGAAGGGAATTAGGTAGCTATTTATACTGCCTAACTCACTGACACTGAGTCAGAACCACCTCATAGCTGACCCTCTGGGAGGTTTCCAAAGCTGTAAATCACATGGAAGGATATCGCCTGTCTTTCTCCCATGAAGCTACTGGTGGATTCAAACTGCCATAGAGGTGCTGCCTTTGGGTCAGCAGTGGGATTCCCCCAGGACTGCATCACCAGAGCCCTTATTTATACAGCACAAAAATCTGCTGTCTTTGGAAGCAGGGGTGGTATTCACTTCCTAAAGAGCATGCCTCTGGAAACTCTGTGAACTATGATAAATGGCAATGGTTGTGGAAGGACTTCAGGTCTTTTGTTCAAAGGGTCACTATGAGTCATGCTTGACTCAATGGCAATCAACAACAATAACAACATATATATAGTTAATATTTTCAGTAAGGCATTTCATTGTCTTCTTAGATGATATACAGAGCAGACAGGAGCCAAAGTGGATTCTTTCTATTGCAATGTTGTTTGTATAGAGTGGTTGCCATACAGAAGACTTTACAAGGATCATGTAATTTGATTCTCAAAACAAAACAAAAACCAACCAAATAAAAATGGTAATACAACTGTTAAAAAAATCTGCTGTCAGGGACCTCTCCAGAGTACTGAAGAGCAATGATGTCAGCCTAGAGACCGAGGTGAGTTTGATCCAGGCTATGGTCTTTGCAAATACTTGCTATGCATCAGAGAGCAGGACACTGGCCAAGGATGGCAGAAGAAGAATCGAAGTATTTGTGTTGTGGTGCTGGAGAAGAGTATTGAACATACCATGTACCACCAAGAGAACAAAAAGGTCCATCCTGGACAGGGTGAAACCAGGCTGCTCCTTAGATGCAAGGATTTTGAAACTCCATCTCGCATGCTTTTGGCATGTTGTGTGGCGGGACCAGTCCTTGGAGAAGGACATTATGCTTGGGAGAGTGGGGAGTCAGTGCAAAAGAGGAAGACCCTGGATGAAATGGATTGAGTCAGTGACTGGAATTATAGGGGTAGGTGTGTCAGGAACAATGAAATTGGCTCAAGATAGAGCAAGGTTTAGGACTATTATAAACAGAGTCGCAAGCGACTCGATGGCACAAAATAACAACAACAGTATGGATACACAAGGAGCTCTAGTCAAAAATCTGGAAAATGACTAAGGATGACAGAAGAAGATTCAATGCCTCTGCATGCCGGTGGAAAAGAGCATTGAACATACCATGAGAACACTGCCAAATGAACAAATAGGTCTGTCTTAGAGGAGGAGTAAAATCACCTTTCTCTTTGGAGGCAAGGATTTTGAAGCTCACATACTTTGGGGACACGGCCAGGAGAAACTGGTCCTTGGAGAAGGAAATTATGCTTGGAAGGGTAGGAGGACAGTGCAGGATAGGAAAACCCCTGATGGGATGGATTGACTCAGTGACTGGGGTAATAGGGGTTGGTGTGTCAGAGTCAGCAAGACTGGCTCAGGCTAGGACTCGCTTCAGAGCTGTCATACGTAATCTTGCTATGAGTCGCAGGTGATTCAATGGCACTTAATGATAACAAGTGGACTAGTAGATAAGGAGGTGGTGTGCTGTCACCCAAAGGGCATGTACTTCAAGTCCACTTGCTGCTTTGTGAGAGAAAGATGGGAAATTTCCTCCCGGGCCGCCTCTGGGAACCTGCTGGGGGTCAGTTATGAGTCACGTCTGACTCAACAGTACACAACAACAGCGTATCGAAAGGATATTGAACATACTCTAAATGAAAAATATTAACAAGAAACTACAGTGGAAAGAGAAAAGATGTAACATCTGATGAAAGAATACATTCGTGGATAAGAGCATGGGTTTAGACGACTACCCTGCCCACATTACCTAGGTACAGCCCTGGGATTTTGTTTTCTAACAAGGGAGATAATACTTTCTCTCAGCTCACTGAACTTAATATACACCAACTGCAGGTAATCTATAAGGAATCAGAAAACTCTAAGTTAGATAATGACCACAGGCCACTTCCTCACAGGCCTTGGTTGAGGAGGACCATGGGATAGTTAGGAGTCTGCAGCCAGAGCGGCTCTGGTTTCCTATTCTGTTCACCGGGAATAAACAGAACAGCTGAGGCTCACAGGGTTGCTGTGGGCGCTGCAGGAGCTGACGTGCAGAAGGCACACACTAGTACTGACTCAACACGCAGTCACTGCTCCGGGTTCCCCTCTGTTCTGTGATGACAGATGGATCCCAGGGGCTCAGGACTCAGCTCGGCACCAGCCACAGGCAGACTCACAAGGTAATATGGTAGAGACGTTAGGAAAAGTGGTAGCTAAGAGTTGGGGCTGAGAGTGACTCTCTGAAGAGGTGACATTGCAATAACACTTGAGTGATGAGAAGACCTGGGACAGGGACATTGCACACGGAGAAAACAGCCAGGGCCCGTTATAAACAGTCTGCACGTAAGCACGTCCCGTCCATGAAACTGCTCTCTTGCCAGACCATTCTTACAATCCCCTGATTTCCCAGCAAGCGCTGGGGTTGAGGGGAAGGCAGAGGGCACTCACCTCATCCTTGGCCAGGGCTTTCAGGTGCTCCAGGATCTGGGCCATCACCGTCTCACACAGCTTGTTGTTTTCCGCCAGGAACTTGGCGTCCCCCCCGTAGAGGCTGTCGTTGGAGTCCACTGAAGGGACAAACAAGAACAGTGAGGCAGCGAGCATCAGGCGGCGGCAGCAGATGGCAGGAAAGCATGGCGGGGCGAGTGGAAACAGTCACTGTTTCCCACCGGGCTGGGGCCTTGGGATCACACAGAGGACATGCGGCCTGTGGGATGGCCTGTGCCAGCGGCCCAGTGGTGCGGAAACTGTCCCCTTCCTGGAGGACACAACAATCATCACCATCGTGGCTGCCACTGCCGAGTGCCTCCTGTGTGTCAGGCACCAGGCCAAGGGCTCTGTGTGCATAAGCCCAGTGTCCCCGGGCCAGCACAGATGGGGAAACAGGCACCAGGACATTCTCGGCACGGTGCACCTTGACTTGTGACCTGCCCCATGACCTTTTTTCAAAACAGCCTTCAATGGACTGTGACTGCGGTATAATCAACTGTTGGCAAAGCCTGAATGAATCCTCTCGAAAATGCCTGAGACTGAAGCCTTCCTCTCTGACCGCTCTGTGACTATATCACTGCTCAACGCCAGCCTCCTGCTGCCACTCCCCTCAGTCTGGCTTCCCACCCTTCCTCCCGCCCTTCCTCCTCGCTGCCCCTCACACAGAAAGGAGAGTGAGGGGCTACACTGCAATTGGCTTTTATTATTTTAACTTACTAATAAGTCTTGACTACACTGAAAGCGGTCACTTGTGGTTGCTGTGAGGCTGAACACTGTGACACAGATGTGTCACATGCGTTAATGGTTGGCTACCCAATGCGGACAGAGAGTGGGGTGGAGCTCTCCAATTAAAACAAGCTTGGAAGCAGGAGCAGCATCCACTTCCGTAATAGCTTGCCTCTGGAAACCCTATGAACCTGGAGAGAGGATGAAAGACACTCAAGAGTTGAGGACTCTCCTTTATAGGGTCGCTATGAGTCGCATGCGACTCAACGGCACTTAACAACAACAACAACAAGAAGTCTTGGAGCCACTTTCTCATTAGCATATACCAATCAGAAGTGCCATCGTTGCTGTTGTCATTAGATGCTATTTATTCAAAACTGTCACATAGCTGACTTTCTGGTGGGTTTTCGGAGGCTGTAAAACACACAGGAGGAGCCTGCCCATCTTCCTTCTGCAGAGCAGCTGCTGGATGTGAACCAAGAACCTTAGCACTGGCAAGGCAACTCCTTACCCGCTGGGCCACAAGAGCGCCCTGTGCTGTCTTATGTGTCTGAGTGGTTATATGGACAGACCACAGTGTTGGTCCCTAAACGACAGACAGTTCAGCTGTTTCCTCCTGGTTTGTATGTTAATAACCGGCATCCTGTGAAAACCTGTGAGGCCACAAAGAAGCCTCCACTCCTGCCCTCAATTCCATCTTCTCTCCACACTCCCACTGCCATAGACACTCTATTCTCGGGCCATGTTCTAGCTGCTTTTATCTCAGCTCCCAAACTGACGTGCCCATCACCTCATGTCCATGGGCACCAACGGTGCTCTTCTGGAGGAACCCAATTCAATGTCACAGTTCACCAGCAGCACAAGAAGCTCCTAGAGGCACACACAGCCTGGACAGGTCAGAAGTAGGAACAAGGGGTCAGAAGTAGGAACAAGGGAAGTCCAGGTGTTTGCTCCCGAGGTGAATGCTAGAGTGGGCCTGTATTTGGGCTAAATCACTGAGACATTTACACTCTGAAAGCAAGGAAGACTAAAAGCAGGGGCCCCTGCTCTCCAGCTCATCACCCAGGTAATCTAACCCAATTCTGAATAACTGTGCATAAGAATGCTTCGCTCCTGTGGCAACTGCATTCTTGGAGAATGTGCCCCTGCACCCAGGTCAGTGGGGAGCAGCCCGGGGCTGCAGCAGCCAGGCCCTGCTCTGGATGTCTGACATGCTCTGACATATCTGCTTCCCGGCAACTCGTAAGAAAGGAAAGAATCTGACCCAGGCATTCGCCACCACAGGATTTTACAGGGTGGCGAAGCTGCAGCTGGGGAAGGAATTTCTCCTGTCTGCTGCGGAGACCCAGAATAGCGCCTGGGACAAATTCCCCAGCTTCCTAGGGGTTAGAATCTACTCTTGTCTGAGCAGCCTAGCACTGGAGGAGAGAAGTTCAAGGACAGCTCATGGCCAGCCACCCCTGTGGTCAACCACCTGAACTGCAAGCTTCCTGCCCCACGGGGCTTGAGGTGTGTTCAGAGTGGGACATACAGCTACACCCACCGACTCCTACTGAATGAGAGCTCTGGGCACAGAGCTGGGACTAACAGAGAGTGAAAGAGACCAGGGCTTTGTTTTTACAGAGTTACAGCCTGTTGGGAAAACAGACAAGCAAACAGGCAGACACAATCACTGGTGCCAAGAGCTTGAAAGAAGCAGTCCTGAGGGTTCTGGGATCTTAAAATCTAGGTTTAGAAAGGAGTTCTGGAATCTGTGAACTCTAACCCGAGCTCCTAGATAAATGGGCACAAAATAGAATGTTCTTAGAAATAAGGACCAAAATTTTTAACTTTGGACACATTCACAAGAATGACCAATTGCTAAAAGAGGACTCACTGTTGGGTACAGCGGAGGGCCGGTGAAAACAAGGACACCTCCTGGAGATGGACAGACACCAGGGTCACAACAATGGGCTCAAATGTGCTGACGACCAGGAAGATGATGCCGGACCAGCCAATGTTCTCTGGCTGGTCATACTGAAGGCTGCTGGGAGTGAGAACCAACTTGACTACAGGCAACAGCAAGCTGAGCCGTCAAGGTGGACCCTACCTGAGAAGGTGGGAAAGGAGGTCAGGAAAGGGAAAACTGGTTTCCTATGCTACAACTTGGTGGGAACAGAGAAAAAGAGCAAAAGGTAGATGGCAGAATTCTAAGAACTGTGCTCAGGCCAGTGGGTAGATGGGACTGAGAGTTCAGAGACATGGCCTTTGGGAAGAAGAAGAAGGGAGATCCTTGGCAAATGGGTACCAAAAATAACCCAGGATCTCAGCACCTGTTGAGGGTGGAGGGGAGAGGGTTACAAACTCAAATGCTTCAAGAGCCTCGAAGATGGTGCGGAGGAGAGGAGAGGGCTGCTGTGGTTTTACAGCAGCATCTTAGGTTGGACTCTTCCAACAGAGAGTAAAAACTCTCTGTCTCACACTAAGAAAGTGATGTTTGGTGTACAGAAATAGTGATCATTTTTCATGAAACACACGGTCCCTTCAGTCCCATCAAAGCACTCGGGTTACTGGATCAAGGTCATTACAAAGCATTCCTTTTTAATATTCTGGAAAGGAAGTCGCTACCACTGTTTCAAAAATGCCCAAACTACTTAAATCCTCTTTTTCAGCAGCTCTGACCTGTGTCAACATTATCTAAAGGGCTGGAAAAGGAGTGGCAATTGAGGAGCCCCCAGCCCCTGCAGAACCTCATGCAGGCCCCCTGGGGGCTCGTGCCTTTTCAAAGTCACAATTTCATATCCAACATAAACACAGCTGGGTTAGCAAGAAAGAGAAAGGATCCAGGCATCTGTTTTCATCTTTAAAAGCTAGGAAGTTAGACTCCTTACCTATCAAATAGCCTCGCTCCCTGGCTGACAAATGATCCAAGTCTGCATTTAGAGAGAGAATGCACTGAAACTCCATCAAGAGGGGGAGAAGGGAGGATTCGCCTGCTCCGCTGGTGTGCCCTATGATCACAGCCCACTTCCACTTCACAGTCTATTCCTCTGATGCCTCTGTCACTTAGAGACCTTCAACACACACTTCAAGCAAGAGATCAAGATGCTGTTAAACAGAGCAAGAGGTGCTTAACCTCATACATTACTAGAGAAAACAAATTCTATTCACTCATCAGAACAGCTTAACTTTTTTAAAAAAAAACTGACCATGGCAAGTGTTGGTGAAGGTGTAGAGCAACTGGAACTCTTGTGCATGCTTGGTGGGGGTGTAAATCAGTATTCTCATTTTAGAAAACTGTTAGGCAGGATCTACCAGGGCTGAACACAAGCAAACCCCAAGAGCAACCAATTCTACTCTTAGGCATGTAAAAAGACTGCTGATATTGATCCCCTATAAATGTAGGAGTCCTATATCAGCCCGATAGGATGAGTAGGACGACCCCACAGGGCTTTCAAGGCCATCTCCCTTATGGAACAGACTTCTTCCAAGAGCGGCTTTGGAGGATTTGAATTGCCAGTCTTTTTTTGATCAGTCATGCACTCAACCACTGCACCTCCAAGGCATTTATCCAACAAAGATATGTAAAGAGATTCATAGCAGTAATATTTACAATAAACCAAATCTGCAACTTGGCACATATAAATATTCACCCTTAAAGGAACAGATAAATTAAATACGCATGTGATGGAATACAACACAGCCACAAAAAGGATATACTTCAGTGGCATATAACACCGCTGAATCCCAAAGACCGAACATTGAGCAAAAAGAGGCCAAACACCAAAACCTTGTTAAATTATTCCATTTCCATAAAATTAAAAATAAAACCCAACACCCAAACACAACAACCCCAAACAAGCAGCCAAACCTTGGCAAACTTCCTCATGATGCTAGAAATCAGGAGCGTGGTATACAAATCTTTGGGAAACCCATTGTTGGCTCTACCTGGAAGGAGCATGAGAAGACTACTGGCCAGGTAGTGACATCCTACTTTTTCCTTGAAATTTTTTGAGATACAATTCACATAGCATCAAATTTACTGTATAAAGCACAGGAGTCAGTGGTTTTTAGTATACTCACTGTCAGGAAACCATCACACTTAATTTCAGGACCGTCCCATCACTCCAAAAGGAGATCTCGTACTTCTCAGCAGTTCCCTCTCCAGGGTCTACTCCCCTCACTCTCTAACAATCACTCATTTTCTTGTGGTGTCTATGGATCTGCTAATTTTGAATGCTTTTTATGAGTGGAATTACAGAATATAGGCCTTCTTTGCGTGTGGCTCCTTTAACATGGTTTAAGAGCTCAGCCAGGTTGCACCAAGTACAAGTATTTAATTCCTCTTAGTGAATGTTCTAGTTCTTGATCGAGAACTTATATAGGTATGTTTGCTTTGTGATAATCCACTGAGTTCTCTATTTTACAGTATATGTTACAGGAAGCTCTAGCAGTCTTGTGGTAAGGAAGTTTTCACGGCCAACCCAAAGGCAAGTAGTTCAAATCCACCAGCCGTTTCATGGAATAAAGATGGGCAATCTCCTACCAAGTGATTTACAGCCTCTGTAAACCTGGTGGAAGGTCAGCTTGACTTGAATTGGTATTAACTCAATGGCAATGAATTACATGTTACACATGAACAAAAACACTGCTTTTTGTTATTTGGGGAGAAAGTTCCTTGCCCAGCTGAAGGTGAATTTGCTGTCCAGCACTTTGTCCTTCTGAGTTTCCTGTTGCTCATTCATGTCTAATGTGAAAACACATCACTGTTGTGAGGATTAAAGTAAAAGGTCTGTGGGGCCTAGCAGAGTAACTGGTAGTTATAACATTGTTATCGTTATTATCAACATTAATAAGTCTGCCGTAGTTTCAGCTCTATCATCAGCCCCACTCACAGTTAGAGAAAGTCTTTGATAACTGAAACTTATCAACTGTTAGTGCTTGTGGTTTTAGCCTAATGTTGGCATTTTTAGCCAATACCTTTTTTTTCCCTATAATTATATTTTATTAATTTTCATAAACATTTACAGAGATTTTGGGCTTCCACTCATTCATTGTTGCACTATTCTCTCTACCCTCCTCCCAGTTTGTTCTTGTCCAAATTTTAGCCAATACCTTAACATCCTCTGGTCTCCAGCTACCTTAACTCCAGGCAAATAGTCTTGTAAATCATCAGCAGCAGTGGGACTGGGATAAGAGAGAGAGAGTGCTTCCCACACTGAGCAGCTAGACTTGAGGAAGACTGTGATGGCAAGACCCTGGTGATGATGGTGGAGAGACTGGCATTACTATAGAGAAATTGTGGCAAGGTGTAACCAGAGGAGCCCTGAGATAAAGGTCACAGTAAAAAATTTTGCTGTGCTTGCTGAATCATTGAAGGAGACGCTGACTTATAGCTGTGCTGAGGCAAATCTTGTTGGATGACTGAGGAAAACAGAGGCTTCTTAATTCTGTATTGCTAAATTGAAACCAGGACTTTTACATATTAAGGAATTGTGTTTTGCTGTTAATCTGGCTTGGGACTGCTGGACTAAACCTGGATTTGTGGTGTGAGATATTCTTTGGCTCTCCCATTCCCCAACTTATTTCCTTAATAAACCCCACTCTTGGCACCACAACCATTAGTAAAGTCTGTAAATCAATAAAGAATAAATGAATGTCTTGCTGCTGGTGTGGCCCTTGAGGCACCATGGGGCTGGGCTACGGGTTCTTTGTCCACTTTCTGCTCTGGGGCAGCAAGGAGCTATGATACTCTCACTCTTTTTGGCCCTTTCAGAGAGACATTGAAAGGCCTGTGCCCCTATGTCCCTTTTTGGGGCTCTTTTCACAGCGCTCCAATCGTGGTCCTGGAAACTTCCAACCCGAGAGGCAGTTTTTAAACCCAAGGGCTAAAACTGCTGAGAGAAGGGCTTTCAAAGGCAGGTACTTTTTCTGGAAACCAAAAGTTGGAACTGGGGATTGGGTCCAACAGGCAGGAGATACCAGACTCTGTATGCGAAGCCCTGCAACTGGGACTGTCCGATGCTATACATGTGCTAACCTTGTACCAGGAAATTAAAAATGTCTGGTGGCCTGAGAAAACAAGGCCATCTCTCCCTCCTGGAGCATGTGAACTCATGGCCAACGGAGGATCTGACAAACATCCATACCAAGGATTCCCAGAGGCTGTGCTTCAGTTACAGACCTAGGAAGTCTTCAAGAATGTGTGCAGTTCATCAACTTATGGGGTTATTCTGAAGCCACAAAAGCCACTGATTCACCAACTGAATCAGACATTTCTCCAACTTGTCTAGCCATAAAAATAGATCTGAGGGGCCTTATACACAAGTTCTCGGGATTCTACTTAAATAGGAATGCTTATTTAAGAGGTTCATGAAAGGTCTCAGGAATCTAATATATCTTCAAGGTAAATCCTGATAATGAGGCAGCTGAGAGAAACTTTGGACCAGAAATCTTCAGCAGCTAAAACATACCACCACCAACTGCTGTGCGGTGGCTTTCAACTCACGTCAACTCCATGCGGGTTGGAGTGGAACTGTGCCCTAGGGTTTCCAGTGGCTGATTTAGTCCTAATGCATAAGCATAATCACAGGGGTGGTCCCTTTCAACCATCCATATCTGTTCATCTTGCCATCTGCCTACATAACCCTTTGTAGATTAGCATCTTTATTGCTGATACTGAAGGACTGTGTACGCCATCGTGTTGACCTTGTTGACTGTATGTCTTGTGCACAGCTCTGTATCTTCCCTTTCTTTCATGACACTCTGCTGGTCATCCCTTTATTGTATATTGCCTTTCTCACGACCATCTTCATATGTACCTATCAGTCATTCATTTCCACTTATCTTCTCTCATCTTTCCCATCCCTGATAACCATCCAGGAACGAGCCTGTGTGCTAACCTTCCTTTGCTTTCTCTAACAGTGGAATCATACAGTATTTGTCCTTACCTGGCTGACTCCACACAGCAACAATGGCTTATTTTTGTTGAGTTTGTTTTTTTAATGTATATAATAACACATTTTATTCATTATTTCCTTATTTTAAATCTGACTCATTAAGTGGTGAAATGATGGCTTAATTTTAGAATTAGATTGCCAGACCTTTCTTCCAACGTGTCTCAGGTGGACTTGAACCGCCAACCTTTCAATCAGCAGATAAGCACGCTTGGTATGTACCGCTCAAGAATGGTATAAAACAAACAGGGGGAAAGCAAGGAAATAGGGATGCTAAACATCCCATCAGACCTTCATGACATTCAAGTACAGGGTGTGGAGGGGGAATCTAGGGTACCTTTGTCTATATGGTAGAGGTAGGTCTCCTGGCTCATGGCAGAGAGGAGGTGCAGGACGCAGGTGTATATACGGATTTTATCATCACCGCTGTCTTCCCAGGTATAGTCCTGGATCACATTAAGAAGCTCTCGAACAAGAAACAGGACCCCGTGTTCAGGATGGTCCTGGTGGAGAAAAACAAGTAAGGACAAATAAGTTCCCATGGGAAGCAAGAAATAAACCCGCCCTGAAACCCAGATCCCTCCCTGTAGCAGCTGTAGAGAAATTAAAATGCCAGTTACTTTACAAGGCAAAGGCCCGTCCAGCCCTGGTTAAACAATAGCAAGGAAAACGTCAAAATGCCCTGTTAACCAGCGCGTTCCATCCCATCAGGGGAGACAAGCTCTGGAGCCTTCCTTTCTGAGTCTGAGAAACGGAAAGCAGAGCTACCTGTCAGCCTAATGGCCTGTTTCCAGAAATTACAGTCTTGTTTTTATGTGTGTCATGGTTAAAAAAAAAAAATTAAAAGTCCTATTCCTCTGACTATAAAAGGAAGATTGCAAGTCTCACAGCAGATGGGAAAGCAGAAGCCACCTACACTGGGTAAGCCTCCAATTACCCCATCTTCCCTGATGGACTGACTCTAAATAGAGCCCTGCTCTTCAATGACAAGGATGTGAAACAACATTCAAATTGGGAAAATACTAAAAGATAGTCACAGAGTTTATAGCAAACATTGTTTCTCAGTTGCCAAACTGCATCTCAAGGCTCAAAAAAATCCACAACAGAAAATAATGGGTTCAGATGCAAAAAGGTGAGATTCTTCTTCTTGTTGTTTTTGTTGTTAGGCGCCATTGAGTCAAGTATGACTCATAGTGACCCTATTAACAAAAGATCTGAACCCTGTTCTATCCTGTGCCATCCTCACACTTCCTGACACACAAGAGCCCATTGCAGGGGACATCGTGCCAACCCACCTGGTTAAGAGTTTCTGTGATTTCAAACCATCAAACCAAACAGTCAGGGCCCTGGCCCATGTAGCAAGTTGTTGCAGGGACAACAAAGACCTGGCTGGGGTAACATGAGGTGATCTTGGACGGCGAAAGGGTGGAGTGAGGATGGGGTTGGGATGGGCAGATCCCAGGGAGCTCTGCAGTTCAGAATAAGCAATGGGACCTTTCCTCTAATTGAGGTGACAAGAAACTCCTGAGTGTTCTTAAATGAGTAACGGGCCAGCACTCCCAGCCCCATCCCATGCCTCCTCTGTCCGGTGACTCCGGTAATATCTTTCCTTGTCTTATAAACTGCTGTTTGGGCCAGGGAGCTGGTAGGATTCAAATGATCCACTCAAAGAGTCTAGGAAAGGGGCCGTCCGATGAGGAGGCTTTATAAAGACGTGCGCTAGGCGCAAACAAGGAAAAGGTATGCTGGGAATGGCAGCAGGTAGGAGCCACGGCACTCGGACAGAAAGGACGAGGTTTGGGGAACTGTGTCACAAGAATCTGGCAAGATGTGTAGTCCAGGAGGCCACCTGGCTGGAACTGTGGCCTCAGGTCGAGGGACCCAGCCAATGCCTAACCAGAACCCCTCAGGAGAGAGGGGCAAATGCCTCAGGCTCGCTCAGATCTGCCTCCATCACTTCCCATCAACTGAGCTAACAAGGAGCGAAAAGAAATGACACTCAGGGGCTTCCATTCCGAGATGGAAGGACACAAGACAACCAGCGGGACCACCAGGAAACACTCAGCACAGGAGCCCAAGACAACTGGCCTCGGCCTGACAGGGCTCTGTCCTCGCTGGGGTCTGGCTGGGTGGGCTACTCGAGAGATGTTGTTCGGCTTCAGGCCTCCCTGACTGCCCACTCCAGAGTCTTCCTCAATCTCCCTCCCACAAATCCCACCCACTTCTTCCAGAGCAATTCCCACCATTAAAAATGACCTCATTTACTCATTCACAAGACACTACTCCACATATCCCCCTGTCCATCTCCCTTCAGACTAATCCGTCATCTCCAGAGGGCCTGGCTAATCCTGTTTACCTGGTTAACTCGGGCCAGGTGGCCTACCTGCATGTCATACAGGCCCCCCTGCTATCCAAATGTAGAATGTTCTAAGAAACCTTTGCTAAGCCAAAGTGGCATCGAGCGAAGAAGCAATTCCCATTAAATTATATAGGAAAACTTCTCAGTGTTCTTGGCACCCCCCAAAAAACCCCTATCAAATTATACAAAAATACACAATATCTAAAATAACACTACCAGAGTGTTCACAGACACAGTGCAGAGTGATGGTATTTGATGCTGAGATGGTTCAGAATTACACTGGTTTGTCTGAGTGTAGTTCAGGGACGGAGCTTGATGACAATCCCCTCACCATCAGGGGATGAGTCTCTGTTTTATAAGTGCTTGTTTTCAATGCTGAACACAAGTTTGTTTTAAATACTGAGCTCTAGTTTCATTTTCTACTTTAATTTGTAGAAACAAAAATTCTCTTCAGATTTCATTTGGTTAGTGAAAACAGAACTTGATGGAAGTCTTTCGTAAAAGTAAAGTAGCATAAAGGAAAATTGGGAAAAGTGAGGTACCTGTTATCCCGTGAGAGACTAAAGAACAATCTATCTCTATCCTCAGTTCCAAGGGCAGGGTGAGACACAAGGCTGTCACCCAGTAAATATCGGTGAATGGGCACAATTTCAACCCTTCCTTTGTACCATGCACTGAAGCAGCTATAAACACAAAGATGGTCGACGTTTATGGAATTTAACATTCCCATCTTAGATCTACAATGTTATGAGAAGATCCATCTATGATCTCATTTCCTACTTGGGGAAATGAACCACAAAAGGGCTTCAGTGGCTCCAAGTCGTGTCACTGGTACACGGGGGGAGACACTGGATTCGAACTCTGGCAGTCTGGTTCCAAAGTGTGTATTGTATCAGGCAGCCAGGTCAGCAATTCAAAGCCACCAGCTGCTCCACACTAGAAAGATGGCACATTCCTCCTGTAAAGCTGCACAGTTCCAGAAACCCAACGGAGGGTCGCTACTGTCTGCAAATCAACTTCAAGTCAGTGGGTTAGTGGGTCCACAAGTAAGCTAGGCTTGTTTCTCACACTATGAGCTGTTAACAGGAGGAAGGCATCCAATTGTCTGAGTATAAAACGGAAATGCTATGGATTATGAAAAGTGTCACAACCAACAAAATTGGGAAGTACTGTTGTTAGGTGCTATTAAATCAGCTCTGACTCATAGCAACCCTGTCAACAACAGAATGAAATCTGGCTTAATCCTTCACCACATGGAGCTCTGGGAGCCTAGTGACAAGAAGCTGTGCTGAAATCCCAAAGGCACGTGGTTCGAGGCCACCAGCTGCTCCACAGGAGTAGGATGGTCAATCTCTTCCCGTGTAATTAACTGCCTCTGAAAACCTGCTGGAGGGTCAGCTATGGGCAGTTCCGACTGGACGGCACACAACAATAACAATCCTTAATCATCATCACAACCTGTGTGCTCAAGCCCAATGTCACAGGCACTGCGTTAATCCACCTTATTGAAGTTCGTCCTCATTTTATTGACCCTCTTGTTGTTGCCGTTGTTGTTACGTGTCACTGAGTTAAGTACAACTCATAGCAACCCTACGAACAGCAGATCTGAACCGTTCTCTAGCCTGTGCCATCCTCACGCTTCCTGACATACTGGAGCCCACTGCAGCAATCACTGTGTCAATCCACCTGGTTGAAGGTCTTCTCCTTCACTGACCCTCCACCCTTCCCAGCATCATGTCCTTCTCCAAGGAACAGCAACTCCTAGCAACATGCCCAAAGTATGTGAGGCAAAGCATCATCATGCTTGCCTCCAAAGAGCATTCCAGCTGCACCTTCTCCAAGACGTATCTGTTTGTTCTTTTGGCGTCCATGGGATGTTCAGAGCTCTTCCCCAACATCACAGCTCAGAGGCATCAAGTCTTCTGTCCTCTGATCCTGTACTAAAGACATTTAACAAGCACAATGTCTTCGTCCAACAACTGGCCTCTCCGGATAACATGTCCAAAGTATGTGACACAAAGTGACATCATCCTCGCTTCCAAGACTCACTGTGGCTACGCTTCTTCCAAGACAGATTTGTTTTTCAGGCTGTTTATGATAGATTCAGTCCTCTTCACCAATACAACTCAAAGGCATCAATTCTTTTTCTGTCTTCCTTATTCACTGTCCAACTTTCACATGTGTACAAAGCAGATGAAAACAGCATGGCTTGGGCCAGGCACACCTTAGTCTTTAAAAAGTTACATGCTTGCTCTTTAACACTGTAAAGAGGTTGCTGGCACCAAATCTGCCCAGTGCAGTATGTTGATTTCTCAATAGCTGACTATAATCTATCACAATATAAACAGTAATTCTCACAAGTAGACCAATAAATATCATGATGTGTGTTTGTTTATTTTACCTGGGTGAGAAGCAGTAATCTAATCCCACAAGGGAATCCCTGGGCACAGACAGTAAAGCACGAAGCTGCTGTTAACCAAAAGGTGGGAGGTTTGATTCCACCCAGGAATGAGAATTCACTGTCACTGAAAACCCCACGGGGCTGACATCTACACTGACACAAATGGGCAGTCGTGAGTTAGAGCAGTCTTGACAGCAGAGTTTAACTTTCTTTTTAATCCAATACCAATGTGCATATATTGACTGTGACAGCTTCAATGGATGTGGGCGGTGATGGAGGAATGGGAGACGTTCTGGAAAGCCAGTAACGTCCACAGGAGCCTCTGTTTTGGCATCAGGACGGAGACGGGAAACACAATGCTCAAAGTCTGCATGCCTCGAATGCAAGCATCAGCTCTGCCCAGCGTGCTTGGCCCCCCGTTTCAGAGCCAGTCTCGGCTGGCCACACACGCCTTCCTCGGCTTGCTAGCAGCTGTTTTCAAGCAGGCTGTTTTGTTCTGCTATGTGACTGCTCAGAGATACACTTCTTTTAAGGAACCTCCCTGAAAATGGACAACAGTCTGATTTCAATATAAAGGTGAAACAACTGAGCACATTTTTTTTAAATGTGGGGAAGGCAAGAGAAGTAAAGGACGGGCGTAAACAATCTGCGGGAGGTTTTTGGTCACAATCAAATTGGCAAGAGATTACTTCCAACTCTGTGTGCAGGGAGAAAAGTTTCCGTATGATAGCCACGCTCAGCAG